GTCGCCACACCTGTAAGATATTATTTATCAAAAATTCTTGTATTTAAATATTTAATATAAACAATTATATATTTAAAATTGATTTTAAATCTCAGAATTAATTTCAAAATATTTAATCGTTTGTAAAAATGATTAAAACGATTATACAGAATAAGAATCGATTCTAATTCAATTAACGATTAAAATGATTATTATAAAATCGATTTATAGCTTTAGTAATATTACACAAAATTGTGACTTATTAGTAACTGATTATATCAGAAGATCATGTGACTGCACCTTCAATTGTCGGTAATGCTGGGACTTTTTGTTCTATCCACCTTTGCTCATTAACTCATAAATTAAGGAGGTGCAGAGATTATATGTTTGATGATTAGGTGCCACAACTATAATAGAATGCAAGATCTTTATACTATTAAATAGGTTCTATGATTTGAAAAGTAAAGGTTTAATATTTGCAATTAGACTCTATAGCTTTATGTTGGTAATAGGCATCACAGCCACAATAGTAGTGCAAGTTTCATGTTTGATATTAGGTGTTTGATATTAGGTATTGTGGTTACAATAACAGTCCAAAAACTCTATGTTGGTGTTGAGTGCTGTGCCTGTGATAGTGGTGCAAAAACCTCATATTAATGATTAAGCTCAGCAGTAGCGATAACAATACAAAACCTTACATTAGTGATTATGGAAAGTTCTAGTAAGTTTACTTCAAGAGTAACTAGCTGGTTAATATCCTAGGTGGGTCGCTACCCTGTATGGGATTGGAGCTTCACAAGAACATAGTGGTGCAGAGGGTTTAAATAGGTAATTTCATAGTTAGGTTGCAGGTATGGCATCTAGTGTAGGAACCTTCTGGTAGACTACTTAAATAGGCAACCAAAAGTTACATATGTGGCTAGTTGTATTCTATAAAACCATATACCAAATGAGTAGTGGCTGACTTAGTTTGGCTTAGTATATAAACTAATAAAAGCTTCTGACCAAGAGGTCACTTTGAAATTTAAAAAAAAAAAAGATAAATATTCTTTTTATTTTAAGTATATGTGTAAAAAAATATAAAGCTGTGTTTATTATTGAAAACAATAGACTTAAATTTAAAAACATAATATGGCTTATAATTTCTAATAAGTTACAATGGTATGATTTTATATAGCTATAGAGACTTTGAAAAATAATAAGTTAAATAGTTACAAACACAACTGTTTATATTTTTTATGTGCTTATCTAAAAATAGAGAATATTAAAAATTAGTGACAGTATTAAATAAATATTATGGAATGGCTTAGCAAATGATAGGCATATGTGTCTTATTGTTTTTAATAACAAACACAGAATTATATTTTTTTATATATTTAAAAGCAAAGAATATTTATTAAAACAATATAATAATCTGTAAGTATAAAACTAATAATTATAAAATGGCTGAGTACAAATAATAAGAATTATGATTTTAATTATCAAATGTACTCTATTATTTTATAATAGTTTTTAAACATATAATTATTTGATATAATAGTTTAATTGAGAGTTTATTTTTTGTTCGTATCAATATAGCTACTACAATAGAAGCTAAATATCATCAACTTGAAAAACAACAAAATACTTTATTAAATAAAGATGATAGATTAAGTGAAGATCAATTATTAGATTATATTTCTGATAATTACAATAGTTTTGCAAGTGATGTTAATAACAATAGTGAAGAGAAAAATTCTTAAAATAATAGTAGTAAAGAAGCTAATCAGGAATCTAATTTAAATATATCTTCTAAACCTTTGTTACTAACAAAAAGAAAAAAAAAATCTAAAGTTTCAACTAAACCAAAATCATCATTTGTTTAGAAATTTTTTTCTCAACCTATTAATGGAAAAGTTAGTTATCAAGTGACTAATTGCAACACAGTTCTTAATTATAATAATACTCTATCAACAATGAAATCTCATCTTTATAATAAACATCAAATTACTAAAGTTTCATTAAATAATAAAACTGCTAATGAATTAAAAGAGGACTTACCTCTAAAAGACCAATTAACATTATATCAAACTTTAGAAACCATAAAACCATATTTTAAAATACAAATACAAAAATTAAATCTTCTTAGATTTATAATTAATAGTATTTATCCACTTTCTATGTTGAAGATAAAGATTTTATTAAATATTCTTATAATTTAGATCTAAAATATAAACTTTCTTGTAGAGTAAGTATAAATTTATTATTTAATTATAAAATTACATATTTTAAAATTTATTAATTTTTATAGATCAGAAATAATGTGATTTTAGAGTGGAGTTTTTTTTAGCATTCACTTTTTTCTCTACAATTTTTTAATTTATATTTTAATTTATATAATTATTTTATTTATTACTTTTTTATACATTAAATAAAAAATTAAATTTATATTATTTATAAATAACTTATATCATTTAACAGTACAAAACAGATTAAAGCTCAGTCTGACAAATCAAAATGAAAAATAGCAATATATTTAAGATTTGATCATCGATTCTAAACCGATTTTAGGGATTCGATCATCGATTTTAATTTTTAGAATCGATTTATCAATACTGGCAGACCCATTATATATATTTCCCACAATAGAACATAACACAACTACAGCCAAGAGAATCAGGATACTACATGATAACTACTACAGCCCTAAACGTAACATGATCAGAAAAATTCAAAACAAATGTTCATTTTGAAAAAATCGTCTATTTCTCAAAAATTTGCATAAGAAACCGCCTTTTATGCTTAACAAAAAAAATTTCTTGCTAAATTTTTCATGTATATAATACCTTAGAAAATCCCAGGCATCACCCTAACCCTAAAGTAAACGAACTTAAAATTTTTTTCAGTCGTAATACAGTGCCCTCGATTGTCGGTAATACTGGATTTGCTGGGTAGAGCAGAATGATAGAGCAAACCTCACTACTAATTAAAAGCCCTTCAATATTCTTAAAAACAAACTTGCCTATCATAATAACTTGTATTTTCAACAATCATATCCTATCACAGAAAATACCTGCATCAAATAAGATACAATAAGAACTATTACACAAAAATTTTAAGAATCAAATGACAAATTGAACATGTAATTCAATAAAGTCATCTGATTTCACAATAATCATCCTGCCACTTCGTTGACTTGCTTTTCATTATAAACCTTCTGAATATACGCAAAAAAAATAATAATTCATACTTTCCCATGATATACCAAAAATGTGTACAATGTTATACTTCAGGAAATCTGAAACAAAAAGCTTTTTCTTTACATTATTAAGAACAATAATTTTAACGATAATTATTTATATTACTTTATTTTGCAGAATAAAGAGCCTATCTGATGCAATTTTCTTTAAATATAAAAAATCAAATACATCACATTACTATATAACAACCAATCAAAAAAGAGATCTACGTATTTGGTACGAAACGCCCTTTATTTTACAAAATGTATTTTTTATTTACTTTCGTTTTATATCCACTGATCTGACCCAATATTTTGCAATTAGTGATGACTTATTTGTTACTGATCTTCAAATTTAACATAATTTTGCAAACTGTAATAAATTTAACAATCTTTTCCCTCTAATATATAAAGCATAACTACCTATTACGTTCTATCCATTATGCATAACATTAAACTCAATATCCGTAAATTAGTTTAGATTCAAAATTATTATAACCTTAGCTATTTTATTTACTTATATTTAGTCACTAAATGCAATAAAAATTAAACTTTAAGTGCATTGCGTAAGCATGCTAGTTTCTTTTAAATTTAGTAGACTTTAACTGTTTTAAATTACAAAGATAAACAATATTTTAATTTTGAAATAATTGTATACGATATGATAGTATTGATTATAATGAAAAACTTTCTTTCACTATATATTATTAAATTTTTCGATTTATATAAAGTCTAATTACATTAAATTACATGTTTCCGTTAAAGGTTATGCGTGATTTTCTTCTCTAGATATTAAAATGTACTATATATATTAATACAGTGTTAAATATTTCTACTACAGTATTGCAAACAAACAAAGAAGGAAGGGCAAAAAAAAGTACATATTCAATAAATGGTTACAATTCATTGAATAGGAAAACAAAAAGCATGTAATGAAAAAAGATTAATTAATAGGCCAAATTAAAAATATATATATTTAATTAAAAGATTATAACTAAAAAGATCTATAAAGAATGCATATGTATATTCTTGGTTATCTCTATAGTTATTCACTAAAAAAGTTAAGAGTGGGTGTATTTTCTTTAACGACAGCTTGCAATTCGTTCGGATCCAATCCAAGAGCAGAAAGAATGAAGGATGCAATTGAGTGGATTTTGATATTATCATCATTAACTTTTCTAACAATACTGGGATTATAAACTATAATTGGAACATGATAATCATCTTCGTTGAAACCACCATGTTCGGCAATTTTTTTCGTTGAAGTAGTGTAGACAACACCAGGTACACCTCTAATGGCAATATGGGGACATCGAGTATCTTTATCATGACTACAGCTAAATTTTGCTTTAAGTGTATCACCTTCAAATATTTCAGCAATACCAAGTGCATCTTTGTTATCTGAAAGACTTTTTACTGCGTCTTTTGAATCAGAATCTTTTTTTAACCAAATAAGTGCAACATCATCTGATGTTATTTGGTTAAGTTTATCAGCTCCAATTGTGTCATTCAATTTTTGTGGATCAATCTTCTTAAACAACGTAGGATTGATAGGAGATTGACCATGTTTTGCGGAGATAATAATAATCATATCATTAAGTAAGTTTTTTTACCTTTAATTCATTGACAAAATTTCCAAGGATGTCATCTATATAGTTTAAAGCATCTTTAACTTGTTCTCTCAGAGTAGCATTAGCATCTGCATAGCCACCTTCATATTCTGATTGATTTGAGCTTGACTTTTGAGCCACACTGAGGGATTGGAAATTGCCACCGAAAATATTAGGAACATGGAAAGGTTCACAATTATGGTTATTGCTATCTATCCAATTGAGTATGGCTTGAGTATGATAATTATCGTATGGTTTAACGAATGTAAGGTGTGCTTTATTACTTCCTAAACTAGCAATTTCTAGACTATAAAAGTCATCAACACCTTTTCCAGAAGGACCATTAACAATCGAGTATGCGGATAACTTATCAACCCAAGCTGTTATAAGACTATGTTTTTTGGCAACCTCAAAGATAGTATTAACACGAAGATAATCGTATAGTTGAACCTTTACACATTTATCATCTTTGTTAATTCGCAATGGAAGTAGGTCAGGATTAATGGTAGTATTGATATTAGTGGCATCTACATCAAGCGATTCATCCCAGACCACATTATAACCGGGGTTGCCTTTGCAATCAGACCCAGGTGCAAAGTAAGTATCATCCCTAAGAATAAAAAAAATAAGAAAATAGTTTAAAATAAAAGAAAGATATTATTTTATTATTTTTTACTATTTGATCACATACCATGATTTATCATACCAAACGCTGGTGGTCTTAGGTAAACCACCAGTTAATTGAGCCAAAAGACCAGGGAATGAATCAGTTGGCAAGAAAGCTTGTGCTTTTTTGAAATATACAAAATTTTTAAGAATAAGTGAAAGATTAGAGTCCGGGTGAGACGTTGTAAATACATCAACATCCTTTTGATGGAGACCGTCAATTGAAATTAGTAAGACATGACCGAATTTTTTATCAGCACGTTTGTCAAGAAAGGAAGAGGAAGATTGTGGACAACTAAGTGAATTTGTCACGAAAAACACTAGGCAAATAAGGACTGACAAAGTTTGGATAACCATATTGAAAAAATAAATAAATATACAGTGGCGATTATAAGTAATAGATCAAAAAAAAAATTTTGGTCAGATTACGTTATTTTGTGCAATTCTGGACATATCCTTTTGGTTTTTTTTTAATTTGCTCATGAATAGTTACCTCTTTTGATATTGAATTCTTAATTTAAGTTGTTTTGCCAGTTCGAAAACAATAACGCATTGTATCATGAAAATCATGTTGCATTACTTATGATCATTCCCTATAAAGGTCAGATGAGGCTTGTATACGACATAAATAACAATATAAAAGTAAATTACATTATTATTTTTGCATCATTGTACAATGCTGAATCTTATTGATAATCAAGTTTTAAGTAAAAAAGAACGAACGACTCCAGCCTAACGAGCTAAAATTTTTCTTTCACTGCAAAAAGGATACACTACAAAGACAGTAGGTCATATCCATAAAGTTAGTCCCTCCACTATCTCCTGTATTAAAAATAGGTGGTCAAGACACTGCGAACTTGAAGGCTTGGCAAGGGTTGGTCACCCAGTTAGTTTGGGTGAACCAACCCAAAGAAGGATTGTAAACCTAATTACCTTCCGTCGCTGCTCAATTGCCATGAAGTGTGCTCCCGCTTGAAAGAACAAGAAAACATTGACATTTCTCTGCCCACTATACATCGTATACTTAGGTCCCATAGTTTGGTGTCGGGTGTTAAAAGAAAGAAGCCTTACCTAAGCCAACTTCATAAAAAATGTTGGTTAGAATTTGCAAAAAAATATGAAAGTTAGACTTACGAAGACTGGACAAAGGTAATTTGGTCTGACAAGTCAAAGTTCAAGATTTTTGGGTTGGACGGTAAGCAATATTATTGGAAGTGTCCTGGAAAACCTTTAATTGACTTTCACATTAAGCCTATGGTAAAACATGGCAGTGGTTCCATTATGATTTGGGGTTGCTTTATGTCTCGCAGCGTTGGTGGTTTTTGTAGAATCGAAGGCTGTATGGATGGCGAGTTATATTATCAAATACTTCGTGAGGATTTTTTGGGTACTGTTAGAAATTGCGAATTTAATATTCATGATGTGATTTTCCAGCAAGACAATGACCCCAAGCATACGGCAAGGTTGACGAAACGTTGGTTGAAGAATAACCGCGTTAGATTGTTGGATTGGCCTCCCAGTCTTCTGATCTCAACCCTATCGAACATTTGTGAGTTGAGGTTGACTGTTGACTTAGGAACCTCCCTGGGCAAATTTCGAGTAAAGAAGACCTGTGAAACAAGATCCAGGTGGTTTGGCAGCAAATTGATATTGAGACCTGCACCAACCTGATTTGATCCATACCCGAACAGCTTCGTGATGTTATTAGAGCATGTGGTGGATACACCAGGTAGTAAAAGCCTGGAGGATTAGAATAGAAAAAAAACATTTTTTTTTTATATGTAAAAAAAATTTTTTTGTTTTATGATTGTGTTGCATTATGCACGATCAAAAGTAATGCAACACAGCAAATGGAATAAAGTTTGTTTTTACGAAAAATTGTGATCATTTATTTTTTTTTTAATTTTTTTTACATAAAGCTTATAGTATTCACGAATAAATTAAAAAAAAACAAAAGGATACGTCCAGAATTGCACGAAATAATGTGATCTAACCAAAATTTTTTTTTTAATCCATTACTTATGATCGCCACTATATATATATATATATATTAAAATCTCTATAAGGGCACAATGGTATGATTAGTTCTATAGCGTACATTTTATAAAGGAATGCATTCATAAACTAGCCAATAATATTGCCCGAAATGTTGAATGTTCATTTGTTGATACTCAATTAAAATCGTTTATTTAAAGTTATGCAATATTTAGGTTCAATGTAGTTCTAATTGTTCGGTACATTCATCAATAATTCTGAATATGTAGATATATATAATCTAATGGTATTTTTTGGTTTTTTTTTAATTGAAACTTTTCTAATTTTTAGTAATTCTTCAAACAAAAGTAAAAACAATAAAAACAACTTGGCAATCTTCTCCATAGTCATCACCAAGTGTGCATTTATTTATACAGCTTGGTAATAATAATCTTTCTCAGAATATTATGATACAGAAAAATTGTATTGACTTGTAATCAGCCTAATTAGCAAAATTTTAATTTTGAACAGCTTTAATATCTAAGTTGAACTAATTTATTATTCATCTTGAATGTTTAAGGAGTGCTCTTTTCTTGTGAAAGGTATTGAATATCAACATATACTTATAATAAATGAAATCATAAACTGGGTCCCTCTACTGTAATAAGTAATATATGAAACAGAAGTATGAGTTATATCATCTATTTTGTCGGATAAGTTTGAAAGAAAATTTATTAGTTTACACGTAGTGTTTATACACGGATATAATATTTATTAATTACAGATTTGTGTAATATGTAATCAAAACAGTTTTACAAACGAAAAATCAAACCCTATACCAAAATTCCACAAGGAATTTTTTTGTTAAAAGCCAAAAAGTGGTTTCATAATTAAATATTTGAGATGTTTATATTGCCTATATACATACTCCCTGTATACAAATAGGAATTTTCATTTAGAAAATATACTATCAAAATAATAAATTCAAAAACTCTTAGATCTATAATCATTTTTTATTATTTGGCATGTATAAAAGTTTCTTTGATGTTATGTTTTTTTTTTAGTTTATGATAATTATTATTATTCGATAATCTATTGTAATTATTAAACTTTGTACCTTCCTAATAACTATCTCTTTGTATGTGCATATGTGCAATAAAAATTTCGGAAAAAATTAAATACTACTAAGGTAAACATTAGTTCACAAGTTTTGTGCATTCAAAAGTTAAATTCATAAAATTAAGAACGTAGTTTGCAGATGCTTCTTTAATTGTTCCTCAAATATTAATTAACATTTATGGAACATCAATTGAAGTATTTAAAATCAATAAAAATTAAAAATTTACTTCCAAATTTGGTATTAGACAAAATTAAAAAATTAAAGCTATTAAAAATTATCCTTATTTGAGTGTCACTAAGAAAAAACCTATAAATCTTATTAGATAGGATTTGCGGGGTTTTTCTTGGCAATATTTATTTTGATCATTATATTATGTTGTAATATGTTTGTGTTATAATACGTAATGAATAACATTTAGTATTAACATTGGGCTTATTATTGCTATAGTTGTATTTTGACACAACAATAATTACTAATTTCCTTATATGGGCATAGACATTTTGTGTTATTGCAAAAAGGTGTGACCCCACGATTTTTGTGATAACAATAGTAGTAAATTTTGGAGATTTTAAATTGTCTATTCCAGTATTAATCATACATTCAATCAGTAATATCTGCAGAGGTCACACCTTTTTTCAATGCGTTATAGAACAGTTAGAAATGTCTATGTTACACAGCTAATTGCAGTACATAAAAAATTATTTTACAATACCGGATCATTCCGCTAGTTCATAATAATCTTTCACCCATCTGCAGATCACTTTTACCAAAACTGAAACTAAGAACGAAAAACTTTCAAGGCAAATAATACAAAAGTATACTAAGTAAACATATCTTTGGCCCCTAAGTAAACTTGCTTGGCATCTAAATTAGCATATAGAAAGCATATACTTGTGGTCATAAGACCCCCTCTTGCCAACACCACAGGCAAAAAACAGAAAAAACAACCCTCAGACAAACTTTCACTTGTTGAGTGGAATTGGTCCTATGGACCCTCCACGACAACTAATGCTGCAACTAGCAGCGGGACTACATTAACTAATAACAGCAACCAAATCAATACAGAACCTGAAACAACTGCTCAACAAGTACACAACAATACTATCTCTTCCAGCATCTTCTCTCTTATTAATCCTCTAACCTATCTAACAAGCAAGTCTAATATAAAAACTACAGCAACAGTCACCTCAGCCAAGCACATTACAACAGAATATACAAAAGAATTTATCAACATTAGTATTAAGGACTGGTCTAAACTTATCTTCATTATCACCTTCTACATTCCAGAATTCGCTAACAAATTTCTCTTTACTGCGGAATTTTCCCGATCTGGACATATACCAAATATGGTTAAATTTCCTGCACAATGGATATGCAAGCACAGTAATACAACCAAATCAATCTTATTTGATTTGACAAGCTCCAAACGTAACTCTGTAAACATTAATGCCAAATTGCCTAGAACTACTCATAGTTGTGACATAGACATAACAATCAAAGCATATGAGCAAACACAAAAAGCATACCATGCACCAAAATACTCTAAAGACCTACCACTTATTCCATATAACATGATTCCTGAAATCGATACAGATGAGGATACAAACCAAAACAATACTGCCAGTATTACAAAAACAACAGCTAACAACAAAGGCAAAAACAGTACTCAATCTATCAAAGGTTACACAACTAGCAGTGTATTAGCTGCAGCCTCTAGCTCACACCAAACAAACAAATGATCAGCAGCACAATTTAATATACTTGGACACACCACTAATTACCAAACTGTTCAGATACGCAATCAGCCAACTGAAATCTGTAGTATTAAAAAATGGCATAGGTTTACACCACTTAACACTACTACTAGTAAACAGATACCACAATCACCATCAACAGTATCACCTACACATTAGTGATTTGAATCGGTTGAGCTATATTCGGTTAATCGACCCAAACTTAATAAATTTTGGTTAACTAGTTGAGGAAATTCTTAATCGGTTAACCTGATACAACCGGTTGAGAATTGAGTAATCGGTTGACGGAATCGATATAATATGAAAATGACGTAAAGAGAGTAAAAGGACCGAAAAGTTCTAAAAAGAAACTGAATAAACATAAAGACAAGAGTATAGCTCCGAGAATTTCTGATGGTAGTATCTTAACCGGTTGACAATCGGTTGAATGAAATAATTCAGTTCGATTAACCGATTAAGGAAATTTTTCTTGGTTCAAATCACTACTACACATACCACTACTACTATGG